CCCTCACTCCCCGCTCCCTTTAATATCCCACCCAGTCTAATCCCTCTCTCCACCTCAATCCCCGCTTCCTTTAGTATCCCACCCAGCCTAATCCCTCTCTCCCGCTCACTCCCCGCTCCCTTTAATATCTCACCCAGTCTAATCCCTCTCCCCCCATCACTGTGTGTCCCTCCCTGCCCCTCTCTGCTCCCCAAGTCTGGGATCTATTTGGAATCCAGCAAAGGAGGATAAAGATTTTTTTTAGAAAGAGAAAATAAACTTTAAGGGCAAGCTCAAGACAAATACAAAAGCCAACAGTCAGAGATTCTATAAATATATAAACAGGAAGGGAGACAAAGTGACTGTAGGTCCCTCAGAAAATCAATCTGGGAGATGGTTATGGGGAACAAGAAAAAGCGAGATCAATGTTAGCATGATCAGTCTTATTTGAGGCAAGAGAGTCCATTCATCAGTCTGATAACAGCCAGAAAGAAGCTGTTTCTGAACCTACTCGTGTGTGTGTTCAGGCTTCTGTACCTTCTGCCTGATGGAAGAGGCTGTAGGAAATCATTACCAGGGTGTGATGGGTCTTTGATGAAGTTGGCCGCCTTTCTGTGGCAGCGAGCCATGTAAATAGAGTCCATGGATGGAAGGTTGACTTCTGTGATGGTCTGGGCTGTGCACACCACCTTCTGCAGTTTCTTACAGTCCTGGGCAGAGCAGTTGCCGTACCAGGCCGTTATACACCCAGACAGTATGTTTTCAATGGTGCATCTGTAGAAGGTGGTGAGGGACCTTATGGACATGGCAAATTTCCTGAGCTGCCTGAGAAAGAAGAGGCGTTGTTGTGCCTTCTTCAGTGTCACATCTACCTGGGAAATCCAGGACAGGTTATCGGTTATCGTCACTCTGAGAAAGGTATTTTGCACATCCCACTAATGTTAAAGAACATCATAGAATCCCTGTGGAAGCAGGTTATTCAACCCATTGAGTCAGCACTGACCCTCCAAAGAGCATCCCACCGTGACCCAGCCCATCCCTGTGACCCTGCATTTATCACGGTTAATCCACCTAACCTGCACATCTCAGGAAACCGGTGGAAACCCACACAGACACAGGGAGAATCTGCAAACTCCACACAGACAGTTGCCTGAGACTTGAATTGAACCCAGGTCCGTGGTACTGTGAGGCAGCAGTGCTAACCACTGAGACATCATGTGCCAATATATAAGTAAGGAATTTAGTGCCATCACTGAGGAAGTAGTATTAGACAAACTAACAGTGCTAAAGATAGTTAGGTCCCTGGGATCCAATAGCTTGCATCCTAGGATAATAGATGCATTGGCCGTAATTTTCCAAAAATCGTCAGACATTGGAGAAGTACCAGAGGATCGAGAAACTGCTTATATGACACCCCCGTCTAAAAAGAGTGGGAGGCAAGAAGCACGAAACTACATGTTGATTAACTTAATAGCTATCGTTGGAAAACTATTAGATTCAATTATTAAGGAAGTAATTGCAAAACATTTGGAAAGTTTTTATCCATTCCCTTGGACTAAATGCCAGCATTTGATTTGCCTTCTCTAGTACCTGCTGAACCTGTAAGCTACCTTTTTCAGATTGATACACAAGGATTCCCAACACAAGGGGACTTGGGGCATGAAACCCAGAAGCTAGCACACAGGGTGCAGCAGGTAATCAGGGAGGCTAATGGAATATTGACCCTTATTTCATAGAATATAGAACATAGAACGGTACGGCATGGGAATAGGCCCTTCGGCCCACTATGTACGTACTGATCATGGTGCCATTCTAATCTAATCCTATCTAAGACCATAAGACCATAAGACATAGGAGCAGAAATTAGGCCATTCGGCTGATAAGTCCCTCAACCCCATTCTCCTGCTTTCTCCCCGTAACCCTTGATCCCCTTGATAATCAAGAACCTATCTATCTCAGTCTTAAATGTACTCAATGACCCGGCCTCCACAGCCTTCTGTGGCAGTGAATTCCATAGATTCACCAATCTCTGGCTGAAGAAGTTTCTCCTTATCTCCATTCTAAAAGGTCTTCCCTTTACTCTAAGGCTGTGCCCTCAAGTCCTAGACTCTCCTACCAATGGAAGCATCTTCCCAACATCCATTTTATCCAGGCCATTCAGTATTCTGTAAGTTTCAATTAGATCCCCCCCCCATCCTTCTAAACTCCAATGAGTATAGTCCCAGAGTCCTCAAATGTTCCACATATGTTAAGCTTTCCACTCCTGGGACCATTCTCGTGAACCTTCTCTGTACTCGCTCCAGGGCCAGTACATCCTTCCTGAGATTTGGGGCCCAAAACTGTATATAATACTCCAAATATGGCCTGACCAGGGCCTTACAAAGCCTCAGTAGTACATCCCTGCTTTTATGTACACATGGTCCATATCCTTCTATTTGCCACCTGTTCATGTGTCTGACTAATTGCCTTTAAGCATTGCTATTGTATCTGCTTCGACCACTCCCCGTGGTGCCACATTCCAGGCACCTACAACCTCCGTGTAAAAAAAAACTTGCCTTGCACATTTCCTTTAAACTTTCCCCTTCTCACCTCAAAACAATGTCTTCTAATATTTGACATTCCCACCCTGGGAAAAAGACTGAATATCCACCCATCCATGTCTCTCAGAATTTTATACACTTCTATCAGGTCACCCCTCAGCCTCTGATGCTCTATCAAAAACAATCCAAGTTTGTCCAACCTCTCCTTCCAGCTAATACCCTCCATCCTAGGCAACGTCCTGATAAACGGCTTCTGCACCATCTCCAAAGCCTCCACATCCTTCCTTTAGTGTGGCGACCAGAACTGCATATAATATTCCAGATCTGGCCGAACTAAAGTCTTATACAGCTGTAACATGACTTGCCAACATTTATACTCAATGCCCCAACCAATGGAGGCAAGCCTGCCATACGCCCTCTTTACCACCTTACCCACTTGTGCTGCCACTTTCAGGGAGCTATGGACTTGCACCCCGAGATCCCTCTGTATGTCAATGCTCCTAAGGGCCCTGCCATTTACTGTATACTTTTTTCTTGCATTTGACCTCCCAAGATGCATCACCTCACACTTGCCCAGATCAAACTCCATCTGCCATTTCCCTGCCCGATTTTCCAACTGGTCTATATCCTGCTGTATCCTTTGACAATTTTCCTCACTATCCATAACTCCACCAATTTTCATATCATCTGCAAACTTATTAATCAGACCACTGACATTTTTGGTCCAAATCATTTATATATATTACAAACAAGAGGTCCCAGCACTGATCCTTGTGGAACACTACTGGCTCCAGACCTCCAGTCAGAAAAACACCCCTCCACAATGACTCCCTGTCTTCTATGACCAAGCCAATTCTGTATCCAGCTTACTGACTCACTGTGGATCTCATGTGACTTAATCTTCTGGACCATCCTACCATGAGGGTCCTTGTTAAATG